TATATATATATATATATATATATATATAAATATAAAACATTTTAGTAAATCCGCACAAATATAAGAAAATAAGATAATAACTTGTAAACTCTATTGTAAAATATTTCTATAAACCTTGTACAAAAATATTGTGATATTTATTATAAAATATCAATTGCCAATTATACATTATAAAGTCGACTGGCCATTCTATCTTCATATCTAATAGCCACAGAAACACATGAGCTCTACTTCACCTTCCCTATTGACTGTCAGATCCCAAAGAATAAAATTACTTTTGAATTAAAATGAACTAGTACTATATTTGTATTTACAAGCCCATATGTCTTATTAGATTAGAAGCCCATGCCCACGACCAAACCTGTCAGACCTTTTGACAGATCTAATAGTAACAAGCGCGGTCATTTCTTCTAGACTTCGTTGTTTTCGTTCCTAAAGTTTACCTAAGATATTCTCTTTATATCAAACTTAAGATAGCTATTTTGGCAGTTTACTGTGTCTTTGCAAGCTATTGTCTAATATAAAACTGGTGATGTAACAATTATAATAATCATTTGCCGATTTCGCTCAAAACACATAGGGCAGATGAAGTAGAGCGGATCTGTTTAAATAACCTCGTCATACAAGGTGATAATGTGGTTAGCACTATTCCCAGCCACCTTCGTTTCTTTAAAGTGAGTTAGGTACCCATATGAGCTGGGTGGAGTCAAGGTTGTACTACTGATTTGAGCCAAGATTCAACTCGACTGTAACAGTGGTTTTAATTTAAACTCACAGCTATTACTATCTCTAACTATACGTCGTTTCCCGCGGGTAGAATATCTTAATTATGCTCGTGTTAACTGTAAGATTTGTAATAACATTCCTAAACCCAGCTCACCGGATCAATCAGTTGGTCTAATGTCCAGTTTTCCCTCTAGTATTTTCCCTCTAGTATTTTCCCTCTAGTATTTTCCCTCTAGTATTTAAAGTCTACAGACTTTAGTCTAGAGCCATCTTTAACAAATCTCAGGATTCCATAACCCTAGTCATTGATGCATGTCTGTTGATAAAGTTTCACCATAATCTGATATGTATGCCTGACTTGGCCTTAAATCAATCTCAACCCCCCCCCCCCCCCCGTAAATCCATCCTCCATGTTTGACTGATTACAAATAGTTTCTCGTTTGTTCCAATACTAAGGTGACACCCCTCCCAAATCCTTCACCCCCCCCCCCCCAACCGTTTCTTTTTCTCCTACGTTCCTACACTGAATGAATGTAAATGGTCGGGGGGGGGTGAGGAATCTACCTACAAACAAGCACCTGAATATTTGAGAAGTGTGAACAAACTACCTACCTAAAACAAGGTTTCGTTTTTCATGATATACCACCCCCCACCTCCGTATATACACTACTGGAGGTGAGCATGTAAATACTTTTTTTTCCTTTAATTAGTTTGAACATATAAGTCACACTTTTCACCTACCTGACATACAAACATCAAAGTGTACAGCACATCAGCAATATACCATCCTATTTGTTTTTCTAATAGGTAACTAAACATTTAATCAACTTATATCTAGACTCATGATTAACTTCAAGATTAGTTACCAATGTTCATGGCACCATTGCAGAACATTTACGCAAAAAACTGACGATGTTTAACGAAAACAACTCATCGTTCATATATTTAGTTTCAGTTTAAGTCAAGCACTGACCAACTTCCCAGTGTCAACTGAAGTAGATCGATATCGATGATGTAGACAAGCATTAAGAAAACGACTAATTGACCGAATATAAATTATTAACAAAATATAAGGGACATTTGTATTTTAAAAAATAATATCTCACATTTAGAAAGAGGTGTAAATATCTAATTAAAACTGTAATCATCTGACCAGCACTAATTGCTTTCGTGAGATTAAAGACTTTGACACCGTCAACAATTTCACCATGTATTATAATGACTATACTATCTTGAGTATGGTACAAAACTAAACCCGACAGTCTAAGAGCAATAACAGTCTGTCATATCCATCGAATCGAGCAAGTGCTTTTTCCCAGACAGACGAACACAAAAGACTGACCAGATATGATGAAACAAATCACATTTTTCTGCAGGTAGCACTATCGCAAAATGAGTGATAACACCTTAAACCCCTATCTCTAATTAACCGCATATATATATATATGTGTGTGTGTGTATGTGTGTGTGTGTGTGTGTGCGCGCGCGTTCGTCGTCAGTTAATTCGACACAATACAGGAATTTATAAAACAAGTTAACTTTAACTCAAGAATGCAAGGGACATAAGTTATTGAAAGTTAGAGTATCTTGGTAGGAAAAAAAACGATGTATTTTTTATAAAGGTGTGGGAATCAAGCACAACAATCACATTTCGGCTAAAGATCTTCGTCAAATTATGATAATTTAATATAGGCTACACATTGATCAAGCAAAGAAGTCTGCATCAACATCGAGTAGAAGACAGTATTTAGTTCGGTGTATCGATGAGCTCATATTACATTCTCCAGCATTTTCACAGATTACATTTCAGTTAAGATGGCGAACGTGATCCTCGTGACAGTGGAACCACGGATCACACGTGGCAGTGTGGAACAGACATCCGTCTAGCATTTACCCCGGAAAATTGTTACACGGCCGTAAATTATAATTTCGCGTTTGGCCTCGGACACGCTAATGCTCACAGTGCCCTTTCGCTACGTCAAAGGGGAGGTAATGCATGAGATGTGAGGGGAGATAATTCATCGGGCATTAGCCTGTACTCACCCCGAATTAGAGCTACACACACTCACACGTACACGTGCACACGTTGCACGAACACACACACACATACACACACACCAAACACACTCTCGCTTAATCATCGGTTTCACACACATACACTCACACATACGCACCCTCGATTATCCGTTGCTGAGTAGATGATAAAACAGTAACATCGTACATATAGGTCTATCAGCAATGTTATAAGGTCCTTTTTTTTTACTAAACTTATATAGAAACAAACTGATAACTTTATGGTATACTGCAATTTTTATAATACATTATTATAATTATGCACAAAAACATTATCTTTAGGAAGTTTGTATGGTCTAATGAAAAATAATAATTATTGTGATAATAGATCATTACATGGAAGTTCTAAAATATGTGGTTAGGTTAGGTTAGGTTAGGTTAGGTTAGGTTGGGTTGGGTTGGGTTGGGTTGGGTTGAGTTGGGTCAGGTTAGGTTAGGTTAGGTTAGGTTAGGTTAGGTTAGGTTAGGTTAGGTTAGGTTAGGTTAGGTTAGGTTAGGTTAGGTTAGGTTAGGTTAGGTTAGGTTAGGTTAGGTTAGGTTAGGTTAGGCTAGGTTAGGCTTGGCTAGGATAGGATATAAACATCTCACTATTATCCTACCATCTTCGTTGTCGTTCCCTGTCCCTATGCTAACAAGAACTGCCCCGATTCAGCCTCTACCCCCCCCCCCCTCCCCACGAGTTACACCCACCTACCATCACACACCCCATCACCGAGTTTCGGCCACAATATTTTGAAACTTCCCGCGAGTCAGAGGGCCAAGGAAAAGTACAATAACATCACATTAAAGGTTACAAAGGAAACACAATACCCCAGATCTTCACATTCTTTTAGGCATTTGTGAACGAATTTTTTTGAAAAAAAAATGCCTGCACATTTTTTTTATAGCGTTTTGTGTTAAATATAAAAGCTGTTGGTTTTTACATTAGCATGAAGATGCCAAAATTTACCAGAGACTAGAATCAGAAGAATAGGAGTTGGGGTGGGAAAATAATGAATGAAGTTTCTTGTAGTTTGTAATCGTATTAAGAAAGTTCAAGGTCAGCGGTGGTTAAAATTTAGGAACGGGTTATATTAGATTACACTCGGAGCACGTGAATTGCCTTTGATGTTTGTGTTAACTGTGAGGGTGGGGGCGGGGTAGGGGTAACCTTTTTTTAAAAATCAAGGTAAATTCTGAGTAGTTTCGCATTGGCTCCAAAGGAATCGCGTATGTGGATGGTGTAGTGGGTTGATAAAAGGTGTAGGAGTAATGGGGTGGGGGGTGTATTTTTGCCGTAAGGCGTAGCTATGTAGGTTGGGGCGGTATAAGGAAGGGTTAAGTGGCCAAGGGTGGCACTTATTTTTATAACTCAGTGTATATAATTTGTAATGATAGCTGTAATCGTGTGTAATAATAGCCATATACACAGAGCGTGTTTTAAAATAAAGTCTAATTAAATCTATTTTTTAAAATAGTCTTATTTCAATAAAGATAAGTATTTAATTGCTTTTAAAAGGTGTTTTTTACATAAACAATATGTGCCATAATTGTTTTTAAATATTGCTTAAAACACAATAATTAATTCAATTGTGTTGGTTTTATTATATTTTAAAATGTAATTTGTCAAAGTATAAGATTAATAGGCAAAGTAAACCCTATCATATCTTTAAAGAAAATAATCTATACAGAAATTTGATGGTATTAATCCTAATTAGACTACATCTTAAATACCCTTCACGTTTTCTTAAATGGTTTTAATTAAGTTAATTATAACTAAATATACCAAAAGATTTCATATTTATAATGACTTATTTCTTAAATATCTTTCACACTAAAAGAATATATATATATATATATATATATATATATATATATATATATATATATATATATATATATATATATATATATCACCATTTCAAATTTTTCAATACTTTAGTTCTGAAATGTCTTTCATTAATTGTTATGGACACTTGAAACAAATCTATATACCGCACCATTTCATATTTTAATGACTTATTTCTGAAATGTCTTTTATTATTTGTTATGGACGCTTGAAACTAATCGATATACCACATAATTTCAAATTTTCCAATGCTTTTGTTCTGAAATGTCATTCATTTTTGTAATGGAAACTTTACGCCAATCTATATACCACACCATTTCATATCTTTCAGGGCATTATCTCAAATGTCACTACAAAATGTCATTTATCCCAGGGCATTAGCTCAGATGTCATCTCTGGCCCACATAAGTGACGAGGACAACTGTGACTCGCTAGCCGGACTGGTCAAGCGACAGAAGAAGCTGTGCAGGCGGCACCTGGAACTGATGGACAGCGTCCGGGCCGGGGCGCTCATGGCCATCGAGGAGTGCCAGTCCCAGTTCAAGTACCGGCGCTGGAACTGTTCGACAGAGAGCGACAAGCTCTTCGGTAACGTCATCTTGAAGCAAGGTAGGTCACGTGGTTCTAAGTCGTATTACGTCATGTCTTGAACGTCCTCTTGTCTGGGTCTTTGAGGAAATTTTGCTATCCCTGTTTAACTTCCTACAGGGGACGGCGTGGTTGGATGTTAGAGCATACGACTGCTAACCCGAAAATCTTGAGTTCGAAACCCTGGGTTCGTATCCGTAGAGCGTCTTTGAGTCTATCCAGGTCTAATTTACATTAGGGATAGTAAACACGTCTTTGCAAAGTACTGACCACACTACCCTTCATATGCCGAGCTCACTAAAAAAGATTAACTCTACATCACCTATCGCATTTACGATCAGTTTCGAAACGGTCCTTTATTTAGTTACTCTAACTTCTTTCATGCTTGGTTCATTTAAAGAACAATCAAAGTAATTATCCGTTACTTAAAACATTGTTTTAATTGTGGAGTTAAAACACAAATATTATATTAAAAATAAAACAAAACTATACCAACATAAGGAGAGGAAGAGTTCTAAATTTAGATTTTCTTAAAGTCACATGACACAACTGATGTCAGCACTACGATTTTCTTAGTGTTGGGATTATTGTTTTCTGTTGTTTAACCCTTTTCAAACGTATAAGTTTTGAATTCTGTGCATTGCCTAGTTTTAACTATACAGTTATGAAGCTAACATAAAATAATGTTCGTGTGGTACTCAACTTGCCATTTATAAACATAGGATGTTTTTTTTTTATATTTTTAGTCACATATATTTACGATTTATATTTAGCGTTTTAAACAATTCCTGACCAAAATAACCTACCCCACGTGACCAATTCTGTCCAATCAAAACCAGCCACTTCTCCTTGCTTATATCTCAATGTTCGTGCCACTTCTGCAACCCCCACCCTCCCCCCCCCCCCCCACACCCCTCCACCCCCACCTTCCCCAAATACACGTCGTTCAATTTTCCGTCGGTTAAAATAAGGAAAGCTAAAGTGTTAACAGTTGCTGGCAGGGTCGTTCTCCCGTCGCCAGAAGTTCAATTTCCTTCAAGCCAAATTGGCAATACAATTTGCGCGGCCAACGTGCGGGCGACTTCCTGGCATAAACAGACGAACCAAGTGTCTGTGATGTACTACCCTAGTGGCACTAGTGTGTGAACTCATTCTATCGTTATTCAATTTTCTACACGTGTTCATTCCGCCCTTGTGTGTCAGGCATATCTATCAATCTATCTGTATATATATACACACATGCACATAAACACACACACACACATACAAATATATATATATATATATATATATATATATATATATATATATATATATATATATATAGGCCTATATATATATATATATATAGGCCTATATATATACATATATATATATATATATATATATATATATATATATATATATATATATATATATATATATATATATATATATATATATAGGCCTATATATATATACATATATATATATATATATATATATATATATATATATATATATATATATATATATTTATTTATTTATTTATTTATTTATTTATTTATTTATTTATTTATTTATTTATTTAAATGTATACATCTATGTATAGATGCTGTGAATATGTACAGTCGTATATCATTTGATTTGTGAGTGAATTTGCTGCGTGTCCTTGAATTGAGCATTAACAATTGACACGGTCTTATTTTAGATTAGTCTAATATTTGACCATTAGTGTAATTATACCCCACTATTCCGCCTGCCAACATGCCCTTGATGCCCCTATTAAACAGGTGACCACTGAAGTAATTAACAGGTAAATTAAAATTGAGTGTTGGGCGCCAGACCACGAATCACGTGATGACTAGACCACCGCCGGTCAACTGGCCAACAATGGACGTGTTTGAGTACCACTGATGAAGGGCGTCGTATCGACACACTAACCAGCGTTGCGTGACTTAACATCGTTTGTTGACTTTCCAGAAGATTTCTGATCTGGTTTGTGTAATTTGCACCAACAATCAAATAGTCTTGATACATGACAATAGACTTTAGATTGATTTTTTTTTGTAAAACAGACTTCGTCAGCAAAATTTTTAAAATTAAAAAAAATTTTTTTTTCTTATAATTTGAAATGGCAGAATTCTATTTGGCAAGGGGGATAACTTTTGTTTACTCTCAGCTTCATACACGTTTAAATGTTTGGTTTTCATCTAATTAGAATCAACATTTCCTAGTTAAAATTACATTTGTGTGTTATAAGCATGGGGAGGTAATAGTGTATGCCCCCAGCACAAAATTGGCAATAATAAGAACACAATTCTACCTGAAAATTGAAAGAAAAGAAACAGAACTTTGCGTTCAACTTAAGGCAAGTCGCCAACAAAACAATCATGAAAACTCATCATGAACCTGATCACGTGATATATTTGTTAACATGAACCTCACGTGATATGTTGGTTAACAAGAACCTGATCACGTGGGATGTTTGTTAACGTTAAAGCTCAAATGGCAATTTCGATTCCTGGTTAAAATTCAAGGTTTTCTTACAGAAAATATTGTTTTGTACGAACATACCTTTTCATAAAATCAGCAAGAATTAGATGTCAACTTTAATGTTCTAGTGGTGTTTGTCGTGTTCGTCTGTTTAATACACTGGTCATATAATCTTTGTCATATAGTCTAATGTAATAATCCTTTATTAAAATTCGGTTTGAATTATTTTTTTCTCAAGAACTGTACATTCTTGCAAATATAACGACAACCCGAGCATCATGTTGCTAGACAGTGCTCGAGTTACCTCCCTGTATTCAAGGGCGAGCACCCATTGCTCTACAAGAGACATAAACAGTCGATTGGTGACGGGTTTCTATTCATTGGCCAGACGACTTTCTTCATTACAAGTGTATCCGGCATGTTGCTCTCATGCACTCACACAGTCGGACTTACACGTGCACACACAAACAATCGACTCATCTGTAACAGACAGACACATACACACACAATCGCGTGCACACACACACATCTGAAACACACACACACACACTCGTGCTCGGACAAAACAACAGGCGTATGCTTATAACACAAACACACACACACACACACACATATACATACGCAGAAACAGCAGACTCACCCTAAACACACACGCATACACATATATAAACAACGACAGACTCAAGTGTACTCACATTTTTTTTTTGCAGACAGATAGACAGCGAACATGTAGTTTTGCATGCATGTGCACCCACCCTGTGCATGCACGTACTCATCTTTTAGCAACACCACCCACCCTGTAGATGCACGTACTCATCTTTTAGCGACACCAAGACCACAAGTCACGAAAAAGTGTGACGTAGTAACTTACCCCAACGCTAGCTTGAGAACTTTTCTCTTATAACTGTACAACTCAACGTGCGGTGTTGCTTTGATAAAGAAATACTTTTCACTGGCTGGTACTAGACGTTACAACAAAACGTCTTCTCTTGGCAATGTATAGGACTTGTAAGGTTGTGTATTCGTTACAAATGTGTCCATTGTATTTAATTCAATACCTTATACACACCTGCGGTTGATTTTTTATTTCGAGTAGGTTTAGTTTTTACATTGTGTATTGTCTTGGACGAAAGCTTGAATTTTTTTCGTATTTATCTTAACAACAAACTACTCACTATCAATGATAGGCAAAATAATATGTAGTGTTTTTTTTTTATTTTTTTAAATATTGTTGAAAAATGCAAAGAAGTTTTTTTTTTTTTTTAAATGTAGTAAGGAAAATCGAAACGCATCATTTTTTAATAGGTTGATATGTTTCTTTACTAGCCCCACAAAAAAGATTGAGAAAACAGAAATAGAAAGTCTGAAAGCTGCCAATATATTTTCTATGATTTTTTTTTCTTGTTTCCACGTAGACTAAAAATTGTTTCTTTCAACACTCATCTTTGAGTTTTTATGATGGATTGCCGGAGTTAAATTCGCTGAGGAAAATAGAAAATTAAAAAAAAAATGTTTGCTGAAATATGTTGCGTGACGTCACGAAGCTAGACGTCTGGACACAGGGTCTCGTCACGTAGGCAGCAGACCCACACAACAGTTGCTGCCGCCTGGCATGCGCGGTGCGATATTGCAGGACGTCCCGTCACGATGACGTAGACGGCAGAGCCACACAACATGTGCCCCGCGCTGACAGGCTGCGCATGTTCAAGAAGTTTCCCACCTGTTGGGGTGAAGCAGAAAACAATTTGAGCTGAAGAGTTACACCGTCCTCTCCTCTCTCACAGGCTAGTACAACACGGGCCAGCGGTCGTAGGCTGAATCGTTCGTAGTTCGAATCATGTTTAGTTCTTTTAGACAGTTTTCTTCTGGGTAACTTGGAATTTCCGGCACGGGGGGGGGGGGGGGTAAGATACTGGTTCAAGTATATTTTTTATAAACACATTATATATATTTTTTTAATTTCGTCCCGGGGAAGGGGAGGGGGCGGCGGTGATTTCTACGGGAAAATACTAATCATCTTAGAAGCTATAGGTACATTTAGTTTGCGAGAGCAAAAAACTCCGATGTAAATTGGTTAAATTCGAGGATCTAATATCTGTAGAAATCTGATGTTACTAACATTTGATTACTAGCTAATCTATTAGTCCAATTCACTAGATCCCGACAAAATTCTATCCGTATTTAACTAGTTTTAACTTGTGGATTCACGGAATGAGTTTATCCTCGCTTTTGCTTCAGAGCTCATGGTGTAAGGAGAGCTGATTTTACTCCAATACCAGTACTTGAGTCCACCCAGCTCTAATGGGTACCTGACTCAAGTTTGGAAAAGCAAAGGTGTCTCGGTGTAGAACTGACCACTCTATCACTTCATATATGCCACAGACATATGTAAACTCTACTTCACCTGCCTTATATAAAACAGGTCCGACATTGTATCTTTACCAGAACATGATAAAAGCCTCAAAAGGTACATTTTAAAAAAAAATTCCCTTATTAGAAAAGGTAGCCTACAAAAAACGTGTAAATAAAACATTTTTGTAAACAAT